TCGGCATTTATATGACCTTATTGTGTTGAAAGTTCGGTAAAACACACTAAAACTAAATAAAAACTCTCCTGCAGCAAGTGCTCGTCACTTTGCGCTACTGGGCCAAGTCAACATTATTTTATTTGTCCCCAACGATTGACAATATGTGAGGCATCATGATGAAATCAGGCGATCGTCGACTACAATGAAATCAAACAAACTAGCGTTTTTTTCTGACCGTTGTGCATTTTTTTTTCTAATTTTCTTCTTTTTTTTTTCTTTCTTTTTGGCTCAATACCTTTTATGTCCATTATAAACACCTTTTGTGTGGATTTTATTGATCAAAGGCACAAAAAAGGTATATTTACAGTTTCCAAGGACTCGCAAGCAATGGAAGAGACCAAATTTTGGCGACCATTTCCTCGTTAATTTCACCTCTGAAACCAGGAGACCCTGACCTCCTTCAATTCGAAAAATCTCGACTTCTGTTGAAGATAGATGGATACCCGGTAGGCTACTTTTTTCATCGAAAGCAAGACAAATGAACACTATTTTTAAGATGATACAATAACTCAATGAGCCCAAAATTTGACGAGAGCCTGATTCCATCGCGTCGTGACACATATCACTTCTTCGAAGGGCACTGGCACTGGTGTTTGCCCTCATTCTGTTTTCGCCTTGTCTCTCTATTTGTTGAGAACCGGCGCTTCTTTCAGTGCTTTCTATATTTCTCTTTCACTTTCATATCCCCAGTTCGCACTGCCACGCCGAATGTGGCCACCTTCGATGCTATTCTCTGCCATTATATTATATCTTTCTTCATCTCACTCTTTATGGTGGCGCTGTGGCTGCTGAAAAGGGTCACTTTTTCTACTTGCAGCTCTTGAAATAGTAGGCTAAAATATATAATTTGACTGTCCCCGTGTATTTATGCACCCCGCATAATTTTGCAAAATTTAATCATTTTTTGCATAATTTCAGATTATTTTCCTTTATCATTCTTTGTTGAAATTAGCAGGATCGAATACATGTAATTTCACATTTTATTAGTTCAGTTTGCATAATTTCAGAATTTTTTTGAGTGCATAAAACCGGGGGGACAGATTCGAATTTCCTCTGCACTGAAGTTCGCATTTCTGACCCTTTTCGCGACATGCTGAAGAGTTCAGAAACTCCCACGTACCGTATTATGTAGATCTAGATGGTTGGAAACCGAAGGCCCGAAAGCACACAGTGACAGCGGAGCGGGTTTGCCCAGTAATCTATTAATCATTCTCATGCGTTCAGCAACACATTTCCGGATACATGTGCATAATGTACCAAATCCGGTTTGGGTTACGCGTTTAGATCTCTAGGGCCTGTACAGCTAACGGCGTTTAACCCTACCCGTACGTCGTGTTTTACTATCGTATCTATGCGGCGTGGGGAACTCTGTGCCACCACTTTCCAGAGGAAATTTACTCGTTAATCCGATCCGTCGCTTTGCATAGGCAGTCTGTCAAAAGGATATTTTGAGAGATATATTGAACGTTTCAAAGAGATCTTCGTACATACTAGAAGTATTCTTTAATGTGAAGAATATAACCCCGGGGGTACAAAATAACCCCAGGGCGCAGGGGCCAGGCGTCTATATAATCAAATAATCACTGCTTCCCTTCCTTGAAACATTGTCGCTGCCAAATTCACCTATAAACGTAAACCTCATAAATTAAATGTAAAAAGACGTTCATAATCAAGAATGAACAGTATGCCTAATATTCAAAAAGGTTTCACTGCCACAGAAATAGCCTGCTCCCCTCTCTCGTGTCACTCCATAAGCAGTCACAAGCTTTGATTATAAATAATATAAAGTAAGCTTAAAGTGAAGCTGGAAGAGTCTACCAATAAAGTTGAAGGGAACAGGTCCATAGCAGTCACAACTGTTTCATTGCCATAAATACCCTGTTCACCCCTTTGGGGCCACAGTTATAAGCAGTCGCAAACTCTGATTATGTAAGCTAACTATTACACTGGTCGAGTCTACCTCACAAATGTGAGGGGAACTAACTTCTAACAATCTCTTTACTGCTGCAAGTGCTTGCTTTTTTTTCCTCGACTTTTTACCGTCCTATAATCAGATCATGACCCCGATTATGACACCGCCTCCTGGCCGCGAAAGGCTAGACAAAAAAACAGCCAAATGTGAAATTTAAAAAAAGGATAATTGTCATGTTCTATCAAAGAGTTAGACTCACGGGTAGATCTATAACATCTAATACTGACATCTCTGCTTCTTTGCTTTGTGTATTCACATCTAAAGTTAAATTTAATTTTAGTTGGAATAAATATTTAATAAGATACTTTCCTGATTATTTTGGCGGTTGAACATACAATATGAATTCCGGATTTGTTTTCATTCACAATTCACAACTCAGAGTCGCCGCCTCCAGTAAGATTCTTGTGTGATAATAATATCTCCAGGCCATATCTGGTCCCGTTTCCCTTTGACTTTGATTACCCTGTCAAACAAGTCAGCCTTCGCCCCTGCCAGGGCGTACAGATAGGGTTAAGCTCTAAACACGTTTAAAACCGGTTCTGACGTGCATACAGGCCCAGTGTGTGGAGATTTTTTTTTTAATTTGAGTATCCGGTCTTTCTGCTGGGACGTTATAGTTGTATCCCTCTCAGTCTAGGTTAGGCCTGCCCCTAGCCCTGATAGGCAGGGTTGGAACCCACCTCCACAATGACCTAAATAATATGATTTAGTAAAGAGTTTTGTGGCACTTGCAACAAAATTCGGTTACTTCATTTTTTTTTAAAAATTTTTTGATGATGATGCTGATGATGATGATGATGATGATGATGATGATGATGTATTAATTAAACATGATATTATGCAGGTTAATCCTGGTGTTAGTTTGTTGGGATTTTTTTTTTTTTTAAATGTGGGGGGGGGGGGGGGGTGCTTATTCTAGATCCTCACAGGCTGCCCTTAGGGACTGGACACAACCCTCATTCTCATTCCCAACTCCTCACAGAGAGTATAGGGTGACCAGTACTTTGAAAATAAGTCGTCATCTTCATCCCCAGCATTTAAGAAAAGTATGCCGAATAATTACGACATGCACATGGAGCCGCTTCTAAGCGATGGCATTGTTAGACGAACAAACACATCTTACCTACATAAGATCAGGGGTGTGGCTAAAGGACTGCAGTAAGATTAGTAAGAAGGAGCCAAGGAGTAGCAATAGAAAGGCTGCAGAAAGAGTCAGGAGCACAAAGGAGGGGGCAAAGGAGGTGAGGGGGTGAGGACAGAAAGTGGAGATGAAAGCAAACGACAGAACATTGTTAGAGAGCAGGAAAGGATATGAAAGGAAATTTTAATTTTTTTTAGAGAAGAAAATTTTTCGTAGCTATCCGGATTCAAACCCCGGACCTATTGAATGAGAGGCAATCAACTAAGACACTGGTACACATGATAGGGTAACACCCTAACAAGAACCCCATAAGGCAAGAGAAGTTCGTGTTAAGGGAAGTTGCAATGCATAGAAAAGATAAGGAACAAAAATAGTGGCAAAGGGAATTCTGTGTTAAATTTTTAAAAAGCCTACTGTATTATACTTATTATCAGGCAAGAAAACTTTATTCAACAAAACCACAGAAATCAGTGAAATCAGTACTGCAAAGCATATCATGAGGTATAATACAAAAGTCATAAATCTAATGTTATATCATAGCACAGTCACACATACATGTAATATGCATTCCGCTAATGCCCATCTCTCTTGTTCTTGTATAAAAATCTTGTAAACGCTTGAGCAAACTATATACTTACTTCAACACAAGAAAACAAAAGCTAAATCCAGGCTAGCAAAAATGATTCCATTAAGTTTCTGACATCATAACATTAGCAATAGTATAATTACCATATATATATATATATATATATATATATATATATCAATCAAAATCTGTAAAATAAAAAAGCAGATTATTTCCTTTTGTGCAATGATTAAGTGACACATGTTAAATGTTCTAAAGCAAATATTACATTTTAAAAAGATAGGCTGTCTCTTTCTACCTCCTGCACTATAATATGTATCAGTGTCATTATCAAAACCATTTCAAACATTCATTAGTCCTCCAAATGCAACATTTTGCATTTAAACGTACAATTACTTCGAACTGCATGTATTAGTGTTAATACTATTTTTAATTCACTTTCTACTGGCACTTCAACAAACATTCATTTATTTATTTACACATGTATACCTGGTATTCCATTGAACATGAAGTAGCCTACCATTATTATATCGCTACAAAACCTTTTATAACATCCAATCATAATAATGGGTGCAGTCAGGAGTTTTGAGAATCTTTCCTTCAAAAATACAGTGGAGTCTACTAAATATTTTTCAGTTTATCTGAGCGTTTGGTTAAGAGAGGTTGCTCAAATAGAGGAAAGAAAAAAATTACGGATTACATTTTCTTTTGGATTAAATTTTCTTTTGGTTTCCCGCCGTTCTCTGATTAACCATGTTTGATTGAAGCCGACCCCATTGCATGTTGTATACAGCTGTTTTCTCATATATATAATGGACACAAACAGCTCTGTGACCTGGTCAATAATGACATCATCCAAATACCACTAAACAGGTCAAACAACACCATTACTGCGAATATATCTCATCCCGAGGTGAAATACTAATTTATAATCAAGTGATCGAGTAACATTAGGTTTGTCAAAGATACACCAGCAATAATTGGGCATCAGATGTTTTAGGTAAAATTCCATGCTGTAGGTGACGATTCTGACAGTCGGGGTGACAATAACGACGACAGGAGTGACACAATTCTGACTGGCAAAGAGAGATGTGGGGGAATTTCTATTTTCGTCAGAGAGACAGTTTTCATGGCTGAAGTGAAAATTCAAATTTGTCAGCGCAGCAATTTCTACAATCAAAGTCATGACTGTGTGGGTGAAAACATAAGAAAAGTCTTCTAGGTGCTTCTATCAAGGTTACACATATATGTTGTGAAATATATGATCTCCTCATCCTCCTGACCTCCTCATCCTCAGTAGCATCACTGAATCCTCTTCGTCCTCTAACCTTCCTCAACCTCAGCATCCACCATCACCTAATCCTCTTCATCCTCTAATCCTCATCTTCAGCATTATCCTCTAATCTAACCCTCCTCACCTCCAGCATCATCTTCTAATCCTCCTCATCTTCAGCTATTCTCATTGCTAGCCTCTCTGAAAAACAAAGAACAAAATTCACATGTAACATATAGTGCATAACACGGATTAATTTAAAACTATGCAATGATCTGTAAGACCCAGACTTTTGTGCTCAGGCTAAACAATATCAAAGAAAGCACAGTACAAACAATGGAAGGGGAACGTACCCCACTGGGTAGCTGAAGAGAATTTCTGTTATAAATCTAAATCATCAAAGTATTTATGATACTCTTATAAGCATGTTGTGCTTTTTTTTAAGCCCACTTTTTATATATTATATATTTTTTGAAAATAAAAATGAACATAACCCATGCAAAAAGGCATCATTTTTTTGGGTATAAATCATAAAACATGTGGCTACAATCAGAGAATGAAAATCTCACAAGGGTCTAAACAACTTCCCACTTTACTTTACTTTTCCGATCCAGCGGCCATTTGGGTTCTACCCCTCAGGCCTAACCACTTCCCACAACATCACTACATTCTAGGAGCTAATTAAGTATAAGAACTTTGGTCCAACAGATCCCTACATTTTCTCTGTTACTCTCCACACCCCCAAGCTCAAAAGAAAAAAAAAAAATGATGCTTACAGTAACATCTCTGCTGACCACCCATCCCAAAAAACACATTTGGACCAACATCTGTTGTGCATAGTAGTTTCGGATGGTACTGCAGCACTCTACATTACATGCAGAAGATGCCAGTTCAATTCTCCAGAGGAGCAGATATTTCAATGAGTGTCTCTCCAAAAAGGCAGGATAAAAGCAGCCTATCTCCTAAACTATGTCTCTAAATTTTGGCACTTACGATATTTTGTTTGTGTTACAAGTGCCAAAAAACGTATTAACATTTAACTAAACATCATTGAAAAATCACACTAGATAAGTTACCATAAATCTTTTATCATTTTCTTATTTGAAAGAATGTCAACCACATTATATCAGACTCAGAGTATCCCAACATGACTAGGAAAACTGCAGCTGTGTTCTCTTTAACCTTTTTTTTATAAAGTGTAGGTGTTTCTTCACCCTCATTGACACAGTTTGGATCATTTAAGGAGCGGGTTTCACCCCTCCTGTGAGAACCAGCTGTGCTGAGAGATATAATATTATTTGTCCCAGCAGAAAGATTGAGACACTCAATAAAAATTCACCCCACACGAGAATCAAACTCAAGATCTTCTGTGTGCGATGGCAATGTTACACCACAGACACAAGAAGTTAAACAGTTGTGTCTTTTGGAGTAAAATTTCTAAAAATATTACAGTGTAACTCGGATTTAACGAGCTCGGATTCAACGGGAACTCGGATTCAACGAGATGAGATAGAATCCCTGGTTTTTTGGTCTTCTTCAAAACCAATAAAAATAACACGGATTCAATGAGCACTCAAATCAATGAGCTCGGATTCAACGAGGTCGCTTCCAGGGTAAACAGCCCCCGCAGACGTGGCTTCACTCATTTTTCTCCAAGAACGAACTTTATCTATTCCCGGACATGTCCATTGCAACAGCATCGTGAACCATTATTCACTTAGCCGATTGCATGCGACCAATCAGCGGCCTTTTTTCCTACCAATACATGCGTTGTTGGCACGCGCACAAGTCTACTCTGGCGTGTGTCGGGGTCGGATGGGCCGCCTGCACACGTGTGGCTGTGTGTGTGTGTCGGGGATGGGGGGGTGCGCACTAGCGGTCAGGGCGTTGAACGTCGCAAATACAAACGCGTCACAGTCTTCTTTTCCCTTCGTCAACTGATCATTATTACACAATGATAAGCTAGTCTTGGCGTAGATCTTCGTAATGAATTGTGCGCTTGTCTATAAAATCAAAAGTTGCCCTTATGCTAGGCTCTACACAGCACCACAACTTTGTGGTAAACAATCGAGATGACACAGGAGTGCATTTGAACGAATCGGTCTTTTTTTTTTTCACACAGCTCATAATATGCAGGCATTTCAGGCACTACTTGTGACTTCTCTTTATACATGATTACTTGCTCAGTACCTGTAATTAACTACACAAAACTTCATGTTTGCTATAACAAACACTCGGATTCAACGAGATTTTAGGTCAGGCCCGGCGACCTCGTTGAATCCGAGTTCCACTGTATTATAATAACTCAAAACAAAAATGCTATCAAGAACATTCGAAACCACCTGTTTCATTCCAATCTAAAACATTTGAAATAGAAAGATCCCTCCAGCGTATCTTCATGCAAAGTTATGATCAACAAGGGGTAAATGAGGCATGCTGACAAAATGAGTTACTTCTCACTATCCGTAAATGGAGATATTGGCCAAAATTCGACACAAAAGTCAAATTTGCAGATTTTTAATTGATACAATATTCTTTAAGTATAATATACCTTTTGTTATTTTATACTTATCAATTGTAAAAACCTAACCCATACACATGATGTATCAATTTCCATAGGGCCTGAATCCGAGATGTGACTCATATTGTCAGCAAGCTTCACATTTAGAAAATCAACACTGACCTTTCGCAGGGGTCAACGCAGAATGCCTCTCCTCCATTGCCATCCACATGTTCTGACAATTCCAGGTTCTGTTCATGGTCACAGCGTAGGCTATTCCCGCGCCGGCCATGATAGGGCCAGCCACCAGCCACTGTCTGGTTATGCTGGGCTTAAACTTTTGGTACCAGTGATCCATCACAACATACACACATATAGCAGCTGTGAAATAAAAGGTAATTTGCAATCATAATGTTTTACACCCCTATCTATCGACACAGCTGTTCGCCCTCAGAAGATATATTTTTCCCCCATTACTCAGAACTGATCAAATTCAAATGAACCATTGACTCCAGAGAGGGTCATGATTATAAACCACAATTTCTTATCATGAATAAAGTACACACAAGACATACTATATGGGCACTTGGAAATGTTTCAGGCAGAAAAATATCAGCAAAGACATTTTTAGGTGCTTGTGTTTATGAATGGAGCATGACTTAAAGATAAACGCACAGGGTATGGAGGAAAATAATTATTTTTTCACTGAAAACTTAAACGATTAGATGTTGTTGTTGTTGTTGTTGTTGTTGTTGTTGTTGTTTTCAAATCCCTTTAGCTGCGAGCATTTCGCTCTTGGCAGCCCAATACCTCCCTCAAGTAACCACATGACCTTCAACTTAAAAATAAACTTTAAACTTTTTTTTGCAGATGATTTGTTAAAATGAACACTTTTATACCAAACAACAAAGGAGGAAAATGAAATGTAAAGGTTCAAAACCAATTGACAAAGATTTGATGATATATATAAAAAAATGTCAAAAATAAATTGATCATAATTAACTTTTGCTTGAATTTTTCGTCACTGTGAACCAGAATCTAGAATGTTTCTCTGAGTGAACAGCTGACAAAGAGTTAGCCCTGACCCCGGTACAAAGTCGAGTTTACCCTCCATCGGCAAATCATTAACTGTATCTTCTATCTGAACCATATTATATCACTTAGATATATACGGACAGTGGATCGAGGGTGTCAAGGAAACCCTGAGAAAACATAACATCACAACTGAAAGAGCTGCGGAGCTGGCCTACCATAGAAAACTGCATCTCCCCTCGACGCTTTACGGCAACAGAAGATGAAAAAGTAAAGTAAGTATCTATGGACAACAGCATGCATTACATGATAAGAAGTATATATAGACTGAAATATCAACATCCTTTTCATATGTTATACGTGCAGGGAGTAGTGACTTTGGAATTCGAACCACAACGTCACAGATGCCCCATCTGGGAAAATTTTTGGACAGCATAATATAACACTATGGTTCATGGAATGGACATGTATATTTATACATATATAATATTATATATATATAAATTAATTTTGATGCAGCAGTGTGTATGAAAGCAACCTAAAGCCCCTAAATTGCAATCTTGCACTGCTTTTTGAATACGAATTACAAAGCTGAACTGAAGAACGATACATAAGTAGATCATCAATTAAACCGACACCCATTTTTATGATAATATAAATAAGACCTGACACACAAGACATAAAACGAATCGTCCTACCTCCAAATAACGTGACAGAACCCGTCATAAAAGCCTTGGACTGACAAGCCTTGTATGTCTTGTAATGCTTTGAAGGGGAAAAAAAAGGGACGATAAAATCCCCACATCAAATCTCATCATTACATTTCAAATTAAGTACAACAACGGGCGGGGCTGTCAATAATATCAATATATTTTTTATCTTATATTCTAAAAATCTCATTATTACATTTTCAATAATTTCAATAATTTATTTTTTAATTCAAAATCATTCGTTACATCAATTTATTATAATATTTTAGGGTAGGCCTATGGTCCAAATGAAAAACGCAACCCAGTCTTATAATTTTCTTATCAAAAGTAGTAGATTAAATTTAAACTACAAATGCATTAATTTGATATCATCCAAAAGTAGCCTACGATGCTACTAAAGTTATATAATTAACTGCCTTTTCTACTTCTAATTTTATAATATCAGTCTAGAATTAGGGCCCCCTACTATAATTAATTAATTACTTATATTTTTGACTTAATGGTGGTAGACTTACTGGATATCTATCAGACAGCTCATCATCTCCTCTGGGGTCGAGACTACTCATCATTAGTCATTAAAATCAGCAAGTCCCGTGGCATGAACGGGTCGCTGTCACAGTGGCCTCATCAACAGACTTAAGATCAATTTGTTCAGTTGAAGTTTTTTTCTAAATCAAATCAGGGGGTCCAGTCAACAAATTATCAATACGAGTGGTCCCTCACCTGAGGGAAGGGACAGATTACAATGAGAAACCAAAAGAGAACAGTGGAGTCCCTAAAAGAGATCTTATGTTGATAAAATAATAGATCTATCTCTGCCATAAGCTGACAAAACACTTTTTTTAAATTTTGGTGCCAAAAAGTTTATTTTTGTGTAAAACCAAATTATGCCTGTAAGTCTATTTAAACATAAATGGTCATAAACCTTGCCCTTGATAATGAATGTCTTGGGATTTAGCCTATTATTGTTGTCCCTGACACCCTCTGACCCTGCCCTCTGAGGTGGGGGGGTTTTTGTTGGTAAAAGTCTTTTACGGCGTTTGCAACTGCAAATACAGTTATCTAGTCTCCGCCTAAGATCCCGGTGCTCGACGCAAGGAAATGCGGGATCTTAGGCAAACCGGGATCTTAACCGATGAACACAGGGAAGAATCTATGGTGACCCATGTTAAGGCTCACAATTGGTAAAATGGTCTCCCTCCTCTCTACAATAATACAATGCACTGACATGCCCATGCCCCCTTGGTGGGTTTATGGCATATGGCGAGCAAAGAGTGGTTAACCTCGATGACCTATCACGGTGCATAGTGGCATGAGGCATGCCATTTTCACTTATTATCCTATCATGAGTCTCAAGATCTACACTTATTCAGTTGCCCCTCCCCTTTACCTGTCAAAAATGTATAGCTTTCCATCTCTGACCGAGTCTCCCTTCCCCCCCCAAAAAAAAAACCCCCAAAAAAACCAAAAAACCAACCACTTTTGTCGTTACACATTACGTTGTGAACACCCAAATTAAAATTCAGTCTGTGTCGAAAATTCGGGAGTAGAGACAACTGCTGCAATGGTCAGGGAAGAGTTCACGGTTCGATGTGATCCCGCCTGGAGCGAACGTGTAGGCCCTACCCACCCAGCAAGTGATGCAAGTTTAGGTGGCGAGCTCAGGTGTGAGTGCGATGCGTGGGGAAAACAAACGCGTCGGTCAGTTCACACCCCGGTGTGATCCTGTCTGGGGCAAACATTGTATCGCTACATCGAGTTTTACAATGTGTATGTGATCACATTCACGATAGTGGCTGATCTTGACGCGACGGACAGTTTATTATCTCAACTTTTCACTCTTGGTTGATCGGCTGTGCCCGCCTGGGTTTTTGTTTAGCAAATTATTATCTGAAATGCGGGATCTTAGCCGCATGTAGACCATCAGAGCGGGATCTTAGGGGTGACTTTTGTGTATGGTAAAAATTCTATTTTCCTAAAACAACGGGATCTTAAGCGAACCGGGATCATAAGCAGTGGGATCTTAGGCGGAGACTACTGTATATTATAAGGTCATATATATGAGCGCACAGGACGTTAACTCACTTCAGACGGTTCACACAACAGTTGCGTGACCCCCGCCGCGACGCTCGCGACGGCTCCCACGAGCAGTGCGTGACCAACTTTGGAATTTTTTTTTTCGCTCTACAAATCACGCACGGATCGCGGGACCCGCCTCGTACCCTTGTTTGGCCAAGCCTGAGCTACTTACACTTCGTTTCATATATCTGGGATCCGTAGTTTTTAAGTTATTGAAGGTGAAGGACAGTGACCCCAACTGGGGCTGAACTGACCGGAACTCGCGCTTTGTTTTTTTCTATACAGCTGATAGTAATCCGACAGTCGCGTCGTAGTAACGGTCGAAGAAGTCGCATGAATAAGAATTTAAGAATTACATAATTTTGCCGTTTTCGATACTTCTGTACGTTTTACTAGTTCTAGTGTCTCAGAATATGATGTGTCTGATAGTTAGGATCCTGGATATGTACCCAAACACGGCCCGAGTCGTAGTTTTAGGGCTAGATCTAGCACTAACTACTGGTGTTGTTGTTCTCGCAGCGAAATCACAACGTCGTGCCGTACATCTGTCTCATGTAATTCAGCGCATGGGTCTGAATCAAGGCACAGACCAGCTTTTATACTTGCACCAAACATTCACACATGCATACAAATCAAGATACAACACTTTAAACTTTTATTTTTGTTGTTGTTGTGAACTTCATCCTACCTGTCATGTCTGTGGAAATTTTTCGGAAAATCAAATTCATGCCAATTTTTAAAAAATCATATTTAAAGTTAGACTACAGACAACTTTACTTTTTTGTGTTATATTAAGCTTGACTTGAATGTTACTTTACTGTGTCAAAAAATAATTACAATAGAAGGGTAATTCTGAGAGTTGTGGTGATTTATTGAAATACTCCGAAAAACGCCAGTCTTCAACGCTTGTGACTGGTGAAAGAGCCCAGTCTGAAGTGAGTTAAACAGAGGAGGGGGACAAAGGAGGTGATGGGGACAGGGAGGCAAGTGTAGAGACGAAAGCAGACGACAGTCATTGCTAGAGACCAGGAAAGGAGGGGAAGAAGACAATTTTAGAGAAGAAAATTTTTCTGTCACTACTCAGATTCGAACCCGGGACCTTTGAATGAGAGGCGAACATCTTAACCTCTAGGCCTAGGCCACAAGAGTCACCCCACCCCCTAGTGATAGTGATGGTGTGGCTAGTATTCAGTATTCATGATGACCATGAAGTGAAGCACTTCAAAGAGCTATAGCTGCAACTACACATTGATATAGATCTGGGCCTAATAGAAGAATCAAAATGAGTAATAGTAATACGTATAAGTAGATCTTGAAAATTTTCTAGTTTTTTCATCCGAGAACTCTAAGTGAAGGTGGTAGGCCTACTTGTTGTTCTCCAAAGCCCAAAGTCAAAGAGGACTCCCCCCTCGGATACGTAAATTCTGTCTTTTTCCTGTTTGTTTTCCCCAGCCAAAACTTAGACAATGTAGATCTAGACTAGATATCCATTAATCATTACCTGAAAGAGACAAAGTTTCATTTACATTATTTAATTATTTAATTAAGTCAGCAGGGCCTTCACTATACTGTAGGGAGGATGCATGCATGGCTGAGTCACACTTCTCTACAAAAAGTCTTTGATGATCTTCCTTCAGCTGTTCGTGGAGTTGTTTACACAACAGGCAAGTGCGAACAGGACACAACTGTTTACCTAACTTTCAATGACTATTTTTACGATGCAGGTAGATGTGGGTTATTCATAGAGTTGCCCCCTTTTGCCTAGGGGTGTACATCTATGGGGTTATTGTGGTTGCAAGCAAAGAGTTATTGCAATTTTAGTAATAGACACTAGGCCTAGGCCCTAGTATAAAGACTCACAACATGCATAATTTAAATACATCTAGGCTAGCTTCGATAATGAGGAAAGATCTAAATAATAATGGTTGCGGGCGAGTCGAACATCGACTCTATTGTGTTAGGCCTCACAACATACATTTTTAATTGCCTAGCTCGATAATGAGGAAAGATCTGAATAATAATTTGTTCATAGGCTTACTACGACATGTATAGAGAAGTTTTTTAAGAGCATCCGGCATCCGGGTCAAGCAGAGAAATAAGCAGCGGACCTTGACTGATGTCTGTATTATGTCGATACTCTTTTATACTTGCACCAAAGCCTCTCCTAGATCTTTGCTTGCACATGCTCGTGTTTTGTAAGGATCAAGGAGCTTAAAGAACTACTTTTAATTTCCTAGGTAAGGATTCAAAGACAATATATTCCTTTTGTTAATTCTTTACAGGCCTAGGCCTACGCGTTTTACTCGAATATTAATATTGACGTCATATATATAGGCCTGTGGGGTGGGGCTCTATGTCACAAATTATAGATCTAGTGAAATTGAAATATTGGATGGTTTTCATTCCCCGAATAAAATTATGGGTTGTGCAAATAATTTTGAAATTTTCTTGAAAATAATTATATTGCGACAGTCCACAATAATATGTGATATGCTGAAATTTTTCCTTTTTGGGGGGGTATTAATTGTTTTGCGGCGCTCGCAACTGCATGGTCATATGGGCGCGCGGGATAAGCACACCTAACATTATTTTTCAGTTGGTAGGACATTTTTTAATTTTGCCCGGGGGGGGGGGGGGGGGGGCGGCCGAAGCCTACTCTTAGGCCTATCGGTTTTGGACCACCAGGGATCTTTAACACGCGCAGCTTGTACACGAGACCACCGAGATTTTTCACCTTATCCGAGAAGGCTAGGTGTAGATTTTTCCTACTCTATGCCTACCAGAAGATCAGGGGTGTGGCAGAAAGACAGCAGTGAGAATTAGGAGCCAAGGAGAAGGTGGAAAGGCTGCAGAAAGAGTCAGGTCTAGCCCAGATCGAGAAGGGGGCAATTAAAGGAGGTTAAAGGGGTGAGAGCAGAAAGTGGAGACGAGAGCAGACAACAGAATATTGGTATAGAGAGCAGTTAAAGGATGTGAAAGGAGACAATTTTAGAGAAGAATTTTTTTTCCGTCGCTATATCCGTATTCAAACCCGGGACCTTTGAATGAGAGGCGCACACCTTAACCTCTAGGCCACGATAGCACCCCCCACTCCCCCCCCCCCCCCCCCAATTTTTTTTCTCTCGAAGAGTAGGCTATCTGTATGCGGGAGTGAAAGTTTTAAAAAGCCAAAACAACTTACCGGATCCGTTTCAGTCTGACACAGCATGAATAAATGATGATGATCACTTTGATGATCTTTTTGAGTTGTACATTATTGTCCTATGTTCTCTGTTCTCTAGCAAGTAAAACTTACACCCCCCCCCCCCCCCGGCCCCCTTTAAAAAAAACGTTCACAGCCACAAGACAAATGTGGATGAGAGAGAAGGGGAAAGGAGAAGAAGGGAGAAAAAGAGAGGGAGAGAGACAGACAGAGAGAGAGAGAGAGAGAGAGAGAGAGGGGGGGAGAGAGACAGACAGAGAGAGAGAGAGAGAGAGAGAGACAGAGACAGAGACAGAGAGAGAGAGAGAGAGAGAGAGAGAGAGAGAGAGAGAGAGAGAGAGGGGGGGGGGGAGAGAGACAGACAGAGAGAGAGAGAGAGAGAGATCAGAGAGAGAGAGAGAGAGAGAGAGAGAGAGAGAGAGAGAGAGAGAGAGAGAGAGATAGAGGGGGGGGGGGGGAGAAAAGAGGGTGTGGAAATGTAATTTCAGCTAACAGACTCATAATATTATAATACAAGTAAGGGTATGAATCAATGAGCTTAGAACTGTAAACTCATTGGTAAGAATAAAACAATGCATTTTAATCTATCTCTATGTCTAGGTCATATAAGAGCAAAGTGACATCAGTGAAACACTCTGACACGCTCATGATTTTTTTTTTTTTATGGTATTCAGAGAGCCAAGCCCAGCGTTGTCAATGTCATTGAGTAGCATACATAAATTTCTAGTAAATTCTAGCCTTATGTTGCCCAGCACACGAGCCTCCTATTTATGGAAGTGCCTATATTTGCAACGCCGCGTTTGCGATTAGCGCCAGTGCTAAATAAAACGCTGTGTCGTCCTGTGTAAGGGCGAAAACATAGAGAACGCCGATTTCGGAGACTGACTCAGTAAGCGCCGATAGGTATAAAAATTTCCGTATGATTTCCAACTTGCCCCACATAGATCTGGCCGACTGCAGGCGGCTTTAAACTCGGATCGGAGTTGTCGGCTTTATCGGAATCCAAACTACATTCTTATTACGCCGAAAAACTGGGAAGGGCGTCTCGCTGTCAACTCACCACCGCAGTGCTTTCTTGTCGTATTTCCATTTTTTAACAGTGAAAATGAGACTTCTTCTTTAACTCACATTTTGTTATGAACTGCTTTCACTGTTATTAAAAATGAAGGTACGACAAGAAAGCACCGAGGTCGCGAACTGTCAATGCCGTCTCGCCGTCGCCAACTCGGGTTCAGCGGTTTGTGTGACGTAACCCGACAGGACTGGGGACAATTTTAAATGGTCATTTCAGAGCTGGTGCTTCACGGTAGACAAAAACTAATTACATTTTTGAAATCAGCATCGTCAAAATAGAGTGGTCTCCGAGCAGAATTGCATTTTAAGCAATATTTAAGAAAATTAGTGTTTTTTCCCCAAAAAATATTATGCTTCATGAATACCAGCTGTGTTGTGGTGTAATTAATTTTAATTTTTTTCTTACATCTAGAATCAAGCTCTAGGTATCTCGGCTTTACTGTGTCAATAGAGTGTGATTTTGAAGAGACGAGGCCTGTGTCGTTTTTCGTTATGCGTCTAGAGATCTGCTTATCTGGCTGTGTCGTGTCTTGTCAAAATGGATGTCGATTTACAATAATAATAATAATAATAATAATAATAATAATAATAATAATAATAATAATAATAATGAAGATCATTTCTATAGAGCCCACTCCCGTGTAAACACAGCTCTGGGCGCTTTACATAAAAATGCATGTACGAACAATATTCACGCACGCGACACAAACACAAAAATACACACACTCATACACACACACAAACACACACACATACACACACACATACACACTCACACACACATAACACGCACACATGTGCACACACATGTACGCCAAACACACACACACACACACACACACACACACACACACACACACACACACACACACACACACACACACACACACGCATCTACTTGCTTATCAAACGCGCACGCTTACACGTCGTCACGAAATGAGCATAAAATAATCTACACAATGCAATTCACAAAATACATAAATGGATACATAGTCATTTACATACCATTGTATTGAACCTGAATCTACAGACAAAAATAGATGTCATTAAATGTATCTTTAAAGATTTTTTAAAATTTAGACTCAGATGTTGTATGTCTCAAGGGTTGGGGAAGAGAGTTCCAAACTGACGGAGCAAGGTGGGCGAACGATCTTTCAGCTAATTTTTTACCCCCTTTTCTATGAACTCTTAAAAGATACTGATCGCCTGATCTTAGTGATCTAGATGGAACATAAATCAGGATGAGATCACTAAGATATGAGGGAGCTTTGTTATTGACACATTTATGACATAATATTGCAATTTTATATGACATTCTACCGGACACGGGAAGATAATCTCTCTCCTCTCTCTCTCTCCCTCCCTCTCACCCTCTCCCTCCCTCCCTCCCTCTCTCCCCTCTCTCTTCCTCTCTCTCTTTCCCCCTCTCTCCCCCCCTCTCCTCCTCTCCCCCTCCCCCTCTCGGATGATAAGTCCATTCTTGTAAATTTGTAATCACTCAAGACCTAGAACTAGATTCTAGATACGGTATATGTAGGTAGACTAGACAACAGTAGATCAATGCAACGCGAGCTTAAAGGGATCGGCAATAGGCGTCCTCTATGTGGAGTCAAGCAGACACCTACTGGCGCCTTCCCGAGTCGATCTTCCGCCGCTTAAGTTTCGGCTTTCTTTATGTTATCGCCCTAAAGTTATAAAGCTTACTTAAAGGAAGGCGCTATTTGCAACGCCGCGTTCTGAATAGCTCCCATGCTATTTGAAGCGCCAGTAGGCCTACTAGAATCTAGATCTTGATCTAGTACCCATCGTTTTTACATAATAATATTGTAGTTCTGCCTGAATTGTGGAAGCTTTCTCAGTTTCTTGATAAACCTTATTCCGATCAATATTGGGTAGATCTAGATCTAGAGATTTAGAAAGATTCTAGATTAGATCTAACAATTGTTTCTGATATTGTTTGCAAAAAAAGTAGACTAGATCTAGACATATTGTCCATCTCTCATGATAATAATCATTTGATTTTGAGCAAGTAAGTCGAAAGACGCTTGGATAACAATAACAGACGGTGCAACTCGGTATAAGAAGCAGTATTTTCTGTCCGCAGGATCGTCATGCATACAATAGATCTAGATTTAGATCTAGATCTAGATCTACCTAAAACTACTACAGTGGAACTCGGATTCAACGAGGTCGCCGGGCCTGATCTAAAACCTCGTTGAATCCGAGTTTTCGTTATAGCAAACACGACGTTTTGTGTAGATTATTACAGGCACTGAGCACATAATGTGTAAAGAGAAGTAACAAGTAGTGCCTGAAATGCCTGCATATTATGAACCGTGCAACAAAAAAAAAGACAAATTCGTTCAAATGCACGCCCGTGTCATCTCAATTGTTTGCCGAAAAGTTGTGTTGCTGAGTAGAGCCTAGCACACGACAACTTTTCATTCCATAGACCTACGTTCAATTCATTTCGTAGATCTACGTCAATACTAACTTATATAATAATGATCAGTTGCTGAGGGGAAAAAAAGACTGTGTAGCGCGTTTGTATCTGCGACGTTCAACGCTCGGACCACTGGTGCCCCCCCCCCCCCCCCCACCTCCCTGACACTGTCACTCACACGTGTGCAGGCCGCCCATCCGACCCCGACACTGCCAGAGTAGACAAGTGCGTGTGAGTGTGCCAACAACGCATGTGTTGGTATGAAAAAAAGGCCGCTGATTGGTCGCATTCAATCGGCTAAGTGAACAATAGTTCACGATGCAGGTGCAAAGGATGGTTTTCGGGAATAGATAAAGTTCGTTTTGGGAGAAAAATAAGCGAAGCCACGTCTGTGGGGGCTGTTCCCCCTGGAAGCGACCTCGTTGAATCCAAGCTTGATGATTTAAGTGCTCGTTGAATCCGGGTTATTTTTAAAAATTGATTTTAAAGAAGAAAAAAACCCGGGGAATCTATCTCTTCTCGTTAAATCCGATTTCCACTGTATCTTTAAGTTAGCCCTAGAGAACGTTACAAGCTGTCTACGTTCGCTCGGCCGAAGTCTATAATGTTCAGTGCTTCCACGGGCAGCGAATCCGGGTCCCGGAAGGTTAGAAACTTTAACCAGGCCTAAATTCCCTAAATTGGTAAAAGGAAAAGTACTAAGGCCTACTTTGTACAGATCAGGTCCTCTTGGGGACAAAACCAGAATGTGCATGCTTCACACAGAATTCTACACTTATGTGTAAGTGTAGAATTCTGTGAAGCTTCATCACTACTTAAAAAAACTACAAAACAAAAAAGTTATAATTATGGGAAAAATTTGTTGGTCAGTCGAGAAGAGGACAAAAAAAACAAAAAAACAAAAAAACTACCAGGACTGGGATTCGAACCCGCGCTCATAAAACAAAGGATTGGCTTCAAGTGCAGATGCGCTGTCCACTGTCCATTCGGCAATCAGAACTTCTGACAACAAAGCGTAGATTAATTATTGCCCCTCACCCTGACAATTTCCACACCAGGAGGGAAAAAAGAGTGGACATACTGCTACCGCTCTTCTGTAAATTTTGTTTTCAAAAGTTCATTGCCCTTTGATCTTTGTTCGTCCTTTTTCTTTTCACGACCTCATTGAACTAAGCCAGGCTACTGTGTACTCTTCTGTCCCGAATGAAGCGATACGCCCAGCGAACGAGTTCAACCGTGCCCTAGTCCGCCTAGTCGTGACGTGACCGAATTCTGTTCCTACTGGACATTCATGGAAGCTAGATCTACTGCACTACTAGAACATTTAGGTCTAGGCCTATCTATGCGTTTTTCGTGTGATTGTGTGGTTTCACAATAATTTGTCAATTCTGCGCGATGTTGGAAGGCAAAATATTGAGGCTGAGGTCGAGGTAACCTGCTGCTGGCAGATTCTCTTCCACCAGTGAATCGAGAGTGATCCATTTCTCAATCACAAGTGCTGTAGTAGTGTATAGAGCGAGTCCCCTTGGCCCTTGGCCGCTGCAGGCTAGGCCTAATTTTAAAAAAAGAACATTATATTATTATATTCACCGCCACATCTGGGGTATTCGTTCTCCTGACGACCAGTGTGGCAGGATATTCAGTTCAACTTTCTGCCTGCCGGCGGTGACGGCTGACGGTGCTCTTTTCTGTTGAGTAAGTTCAAGTGTTGCTAAGCATTTTTATGATGTTTTGGTGTAGGCTACGAACGATCCCACCACGTAAAATCAAATCATGACCCTGTTAGAATTAGGGCGGGATCTCTTTGTGTCAGAGTCCGTTCTAGCAGAGGTATTATGAATAATATTTGCACATTTCTCTCTGAGAAGAACCCCCCCCCCCCAAGCTAAGGCTTAGAAACTAGATATCTAGATCTAGATATCTAGAGATCTAGATCTAGATTCTATATCTAGAATCTAGATCTAGATCTAATCTAGATGTGTGTCTGCCACTGCGCAATTTAATAGCCTAGCACTGTATGTCAACAATGGTTTTTTAAAGGTCTAGATCTACATAGATCTATAAATTATACCTTTCGGTAGGCCTATTTTCTATTTGATATTGACCCATATAATATAATGGAGGTTCTGTGCAGGTTTTCATCAAAGTTTTGATATAATATAAACAATAAATGCATAAATAATTCTCTTCTAAGGTTATTTTGAGGTCTCATAGAGAGAGATCAGTGATTGATGAGTGACCAAGGAGTTTACAGTAATGGAGGATGCTCTGTGGGCGGCACTGCACACCTGATAGGAGAGCCGTCTCTCGCAGTTTTTTAAAACTTTACATGATTTTTTTTCCCTATCACTTTTTAGGTTATTATTCATCAGACTTATTAAAATCTTTAAATTTGATAATGGGTAGGAATGTTCTTGAGTAATTTGCAGTGTTCACAGGTTTGTGTATTTCATTTTAAAAATGTTTTAGTAGACCATAACAATTAGCCCCTCAACTCAAATTGTACAACACACAAAATTCTTGTAAAATTTCAGTGGTAAAACTTCAAGCTCTCAATAAGGTATTTAAATTTATTTGACCTACTGTACTTGTCTATGCACTTCTGGGGTCTCTCCTCTCTAGCTGTTGCTGCATTTCTTTGTGCAGTGCAAAAGACACTTTTTGAACTAATTATTTTAATAATGGAAGGCCAACATTAAAAAAAATTATGACCAACTACTTTATTACAGGCCAGGCTCAGGTGATTCAAAGTCAGAGAAAATGGCACAGGTCGAAGTGGTATTCAATGTGGATGTAGAAACCCAAAAAGGACATACGGTCTGTTTGGTTGGAGACGATCCAGCTTTGGGAGCTTGGGACCCTCTAAGAGGTGTCTGCATGCAAAAGAATTTCAGCGGACAAAACTGGTGAGCAGTGATGTGTTTTGAACTGGACTTTTATAAATACATTTTGTATGTTACCTCACTCTAAGATACATCTTTAAATTGTCCAGATCCTGGCACATTTGTTTGAGTGTTTCACCATGTACACACGCACCCACCAACACAAACACACACACACACACACACACAACATACACCCACACACACACATACACACACACATGCACACACACATACGCACACACACACACACACGCACACACACACACACACACACACACACACACACACACACACACACACACACAAACATGAACACATACACACACTCGACTCTTTCTTCACACGAGATTGTATCTTTATGTTCCTAATTTTCATTCAGGTGACATTTTTTGGTAATATTTTTAATAATTCATTTTCTGATATTTGAGTTTGAGAGGATTAGATGGAAGCCAATTCAGTCTGTCAATATTTCTTTTGTTCTTGACTATTTAGACCAGGGGGTCACCAAACTGGGGCTTTTGGGTGAGAACTGGCCTGCGAGATCAGTTTGTTTTAGCCTGCCACTAGCTAGGCCACCATGCACTAAAAGAATATAATATTAAAAAAACAAAAACAAAGAAAGACCATGTTTTAATGTGTTCAGGACTTTCTCGCAAAAAAAGTTTAGTCAAAAGTTAATTATTTCGTTGAATGTGCTTTTTAAGGCTTTTTGAATTTTAGCAAATATACCACACGTTTGCTCGACTTTTAGAGATAAAATATATCGTGGGACAAATTTTTCACTCCGCTTACATTATCCAGTTTTGTGTATTGAACAATTTAATAGAGTTATCCAGCCTGGATTAGGCATTGTCTCAGTTATCTGCCCCCTTTGACAAAGTTTGGCAACCTCTGATTTATACTTTTCGTTACCGGAAGTATTATAAATGGATCCCGTAAATCTGGACTACATGCAATATGCATTTTTGGATGTCTGTTTCAAAGGTTGAAATATATTGTAATTATTTTAACTTTTTGGCTCACACCGCAACTAAAATGACAGTGATGGAGTGAATCTGACATAGTGGTGCGAGGCAACTTTCCACTAACTTTTTATGTTGATTTTGATCGAACATAAAATGTATGGTCGCTTGTAAGGACAAGCGGGTTTTAATTTAACCCAAATTTCGGGGGGTTTCCGGAAATCTTGACCTACACCAAAAGTGGGAATTGCCCTACCTATCTAGGAGAAATTTGGTTTCATTGGTGTGTATATTTGTCTGGTTATTTAATTGGTTACAAGAGAAATCTCTCCTTGTCTTTTAAAGAAACTGAACCAGGGTCCAAAAACGTTACCTTTGATTTTCTCAGAACACCGCAATTTTCAGGATAGCCCCTTTCTGCTTAAAAGTGACCATATATATATATATGGTAAAATTATATTTTAAGAAAAATAAAAAATTTTTAAAAAAAAATATATATAATATATATATTATTTTACACATGCTTTTGTGGTTGATTCGAAGGATATGATCTGAGTCTAGAAAGAACCGAAAGTCCAGCATTTTAAATGATGGATGAACTTTTCCTGTCATAGCCAACCAGGGCCCAGAGGGATTATAATACAACATTCCAGCAGACAGACAGTGATACTTGATGAAAGAAAAAAATTCTCCGCATGAGAATTTTATAATATCTAATTATAATAGATAGCATTTGTATAGAGGGCAAATCCCCGCTCAACAGCAAGCTCTATGTGAGCATTTGCCAAAAGGTGGGATACCAGGGTGTGACAAATGAGGTCCAAAATCAACTTTATGTAATAATTCTTTAATCACCCATATTATATAGCCTAATGATTGCTCTTTCAGGCTCAGTAACTGCCAAAGCTGTATATGCAATGGTCTTGGTGTAATTCTGACTTGAATGACGGAAATAGCAAAAAGTTCGTTCATAACAATGATGACACAAATTTATGAATACTCAAAGTTCCTTTCTTCAGCTAGGCTGATGTTATATTTTGAGACATAGCAAATAACTTCCAAAAATACATAGAATTGACAATTTATAAAAATCTTTATTAATTTTTGATAAAATTACTTTTTTGTGTCATAATAGTTATGAACGAACAATAAGTGACCAAAATACTATCGATTATATCAAGTTTCATCGACTAGAATTGTCTAAAATAACACTCTGGTCTAATTATAGTCAAGTGATAAATGGAAGACCATTGAACAGCTATTTTTAAATGCAAACTGGTCTTAGGGCATATTATGCATAAATTTAAAGTTCGTTCATAACCATTATGACACACTGTTTCGTTCATAACTATTATGACAAATGTTACTTTTGGCCCCTAAAATTTACTTATATTGTTCTGTCTTTCACGGTTTTCATTTATGAGGCTTTCCTTAAAATATGATAGATTCCTCTATGTAGGGAGAATTCAAAGTTTATTTCCTGAAAAACCCTTAGAATACCTTTAAAATGGTTCGTTCATAACAATTATGACAAACTTCAATTTTGACCTTAAAATTTACTCATTTTCAGCTGTCATTCATTTTTTAAAACTTTTATTAAATGAAACTCTCCTCATAATATGTATCTCTGTACATGTTTTTAAAGTTTGTTAACACTGAAAAGCCCTCAAAATATATAAAATGGACTATAAATAGTTCGTTCATAACCATTACTACAAAAGTATAATACTAATTAAAATCCACACCCATACACTTATGATAAAAATCAAAATATCAGAATGTATGTAAGATCTATTCTGTCCTTAAGTTGGGTTAAAATTAAAAATACATCCCAAAACAACTGTAAATTACATGGAATAATGTTTCGTTCATAACCGTTATGACACACTGTTTCGTTCATAACTATTATGACAAATTTTACTTTGGGCCCAAAAAATTAACTTATTGTTCTATCATTCACATAAAATTGTTTTAATTTATGAGACTCTCCTCAAAATAAGGTTATATGTGGGAAGAATTCAAAGTTTAATCACTGAAAAACCCTTACAATACCTTTAATTGTTCGTTCATAACTATTATGACAAACTTCAGTTTTGACCTAAAAATTAATATTTTGACCTGTCATTTACTTTAAAATTTTATATTAAATGAAAGTTTCCTCATAATATGTATCTGTGTACATGTTTTTAATGTTTATCAACTCTGGAAAGCCCTCAGAGTACAATATGTAGTTTGTTCATAATCATTACTACAAAAATAAAATACTAATTAAAATCCAGACCTATACAATATGATAAAAATCAAAATATCAGAATGTAAGCAAGGTCTAATACATCCTCAAGTTGGGTTAAAATTAAAAATACATCCCAAAACAACTATAAATTACATGGAATAAGGTTTCGTTCATAACCATATAATGACACACTGTCACTGTCACGTTCATAACATGATGACAATCCATTATGACAAGCATATTTTTGCCTCTCCTTCGCTTCTCTTTTGAGTCATCAGCACGCTGCTCTTCCATGTTCATTCCACCATGTAAAAGGATGTTGTGAAACATTGGGAAGTCCCTCACATGATATTTTGCAGAAATATCATAAAGTGTTTGTTCATAACATCATTATGACAAACCTGGATTATCTCAGTCAAAGTCATATTTAAGCAAAACCATGCGATGGAGCGGAAAATTACCCTTCTGATGGATCAATGTCAAACCAATGTTTAATACCGGTCATTCCCCGGGATGATATGTTTAACGATTTGGGTTTTCTAGACCTTGGAAAGTCTGATGATGTAATTATGACACGAGTTATGAACGAACTTATAAATTTTACTCAGCAATAACATCATTAATATAAAAAAATAAAACCCTTTTAATGGACACACACTGTTATGATGGTGTATACAAACTATTTTCAATGTTTGAATGCACTTCTGTTTGATAGTTTAAGATTAACAATATTCTGTATTTAACATACAATTACGTGTGCACTCAGGATGAGTAAAAAATGCCTTATTTTTAGTACTATTATCTTTCTATGTAGAGATATAAGATGCACACATCAATCTACTTGCTCATGCAGCTTGACCAACTTATTTCCTTGCCATATACATAAAGTTTTCAGAAGAAAACATATTTTACCATGAGTAGTGATTGATTTAAAAAGTCCTTAAGCAAACACCCCCACCTTTTGGCAAAAGCTCATGTACTTCACAATTTATACTATAACCCCAGCAGACCTGAGAGCAGTCTGAAGCAACCTCAACTTCCTGGGAAGCATACAGTGCAAGCAGCCATTTATAGGCGTTAAAACACTAACATACTGACAAGATCTTTCACTGTCCATGGCCGGGTCAAATTAACATCTTCTGTGTGTGATGATCAAGCGCCTAACAGCTATGCAGTTTCTTGTAACTTACTTTTATAAATGAGAGATACCAATTTTTATTTCTTCTCAGGAAAAGATGGGTGTGTTCGTTGCATCTTGCAAAGAACCAGGTGTACCAATTCCGTTATTATGTATGCAAAGATCAACGCGACCTGGTTCCGAAACAAAATGGTGAGCTCAACGGTTTTAAGCAGAACCACCATGTTGAGAGACCGATATCGGTCTTGAAGTGGGAGACGAATGTGAAGCCCAGAACTTTCTCAACTGAAGGTTTGTGTTGCATTTTTGTTACTCTTATAGAGATTGTTCCCTTTCCTACCTCTTCTCACTGACATGATGTATGTGTGTGCTTTCGTATTCATAGAGATGACAAAAGAAGATTAAATCTTTATTGTCCAGACGCTGGTACATTAGTTCGGTGTTATCACTGCGCACACAGACCCACATGCACAGACTCACACGCACAGACACACACACACACACACACACACACGCACACGCACACACACACACACACGCACACATACACTCACACACACACACACAAATGCGAACACACACACACACACACACACACACTCACACACACACACAAATGC